GTCTAATTATGTGTGGATTGTATCTCTTGGTCTCTTCTTGTCTTCTTTTATCATGGTTTAGTTTCCCCCTTTCTCTGCATTCTGTGAAAATTTCTCTTGTTTTGCATTTACTTCAGTAATTTGGTTTTGTGGCCAGTCCTCCTTGCACATTTTTGTTAATTCTCTCAATTCCCTGATTTGGTCCAAGCGCTCTGACATTACCTTCTTTATCATTGAGCACAGGTGTTTAAGCTTCTGTACCATATGATAGTCAACTCTTTCTGTATCTTTGGTTTCCACCATCGTATCTGTTTAAAGAGGAGACATTTTAGTTCTGTTCCATTCTTCAGAACTGCAATGTAACCACCTTTTCAGTAGCTCCTCTTAGGAGCGGTGACCAAAACCGAAGACCTGGTTTAGCTATTTGTAGCATGACTAACTGACATATTCTTCTCACACTCTTGTGATCCTGTTTCTGTATTTATAACTAAATAAAAGTTTACATCAGCAATTTGGGGACTAACAGAAAATTAGAATCTCATTAGGAACATATCTCTGGGAAGCAGGGAATCGAGTAGAAAAAAAAGGCTTGCTCCCAGTCCCTCATGTGTCAGACATCTATGCATTTCCTGCTCCCTCCATGTGAGCCTATTTCCAGAGAGCAGGGAATAGAAAAGCTTCTCCAAAACACTCATTTCTCTGGAGATGCTCACCAAAACATTGTCATTGCTTTGGGAAATTGATAACTTGGGCCAAGTTTTCCAAAATATCTTCACTCTCCCAAGTGGGCACTGTTATCATTGCTAAAGGTGAAACAATAATTGCAGACCTGTTGGGAGATGAGATCACAGGATCACAGCCCCAAATCCCAGGCCTGGGTGCCTCTTTATATTCAATGTCTGTCCTGACCCTCACTCTGAGCCCTTTATTCTAACAGTAGTAAGAAGTCAGAGGAGTATCAAATATTTTGTTATACCAGGCAGAGTATAAATGGGAAGTCTACCCAAAGGTAGAGTGTTTTTGCATGGAAAATGGATTCTTTGGAGCTATACACAGAGCTAGTATCAAAGCCAGAAGGAATAACTGAGTCATGGGCCGAACTTGAGAAGAAGGTATGTGGGTCCAAGTACATACATAGGCCAGTCCCTCAATGCTAACTTTATTTAACACAATCCTTATTGTTCCTCATTGTTGGATTTTGATGTGCAAAGCCATGGAATCTGTCTTTCTTTAAATTCTCTTAGATAATATGGAGATTAATCTGGTGGCTATTTTCTATTTTCTACAAGAGTCAGGACAACATTTCTAGCATAAGGAGAGATATTCCTATGATATTTTGGTTCCTGTGGTAGTGTGTATGATGTAACTAATTTAATATACTGTTCATAAATAATTAATGTAGCTTTTTTACCTTCTCTTGGCATATTATATACCTAATAGAGACAGGAATTACGTGGTGACAGAAGACATCTGGTATCTATTCATTGTGTTAAAAGCTTTCTTGAAGTTATAAAAGAGAATAAGGTAAAGGTAACTTCATACATTTAGGTTTTCATATTAGAAAACAGTCATGAGCTTCAACTGATTTTAGAATTAAATTATTTTGTGACATTTTCTTTGCTATAAGAAAAAATAGACAGAAAGTTGGACCAAGAGGTTACATGGCCATTACACAAGTGGACACACATGAGAAAGGTCCTAATTTGAGAGCCTAAATCTTCTTTGAGTACATACGAGTCATGTTTATATCCAGCCTAACCAGGGCTGAATATGGATCACATTGTGTGGACTATTTTGGGTCTGCCTGTCTCTCATGAAAAAAAGAAAAAAGGGAATGAAAGAAAGAAGGAGGAAAGAAGGGAAGGAGAAAGGAAGACAGAGAAGAAGGGAGAAAGAGACAAAGAAAGGAAAAAAGGAAAGGAAAAAAGTTTTTTTAAAAAAGTTCCAACCTAATTCCTAGTTTCAATGCTTATGTTAGTACTATTTGAACTTATTCAGAGAAAAATGTTCCATACCTCCAGTATTATTTTATTATTTTTGCATAATAGATATGTGTTTTAATAGATTTTACAGTTCTGACACTAAAACTATTTCATCTAATTTTTTGTATGTACATATAGTAATATTTTCTATAATTCATGGTATTTTTAATTTTAACATGGAATTGTTTATGTGTTCAATAAATTACATTTGGTTTCTTATATTCTTTTAGAATAATCAAATCATACTAGCTATGCTCTGCTGTGATTTCTGAATTGTAACAGATGATATTTGCCTATGTAATAAGCAATTATATTTAAAAACTGCCACAATCACAATTTATTTTTAAAGGTACAAACATTCTTTAAAAACCTGACAAGATACACTAAAATATGAAAATATACTAAGTATTAGAGAAATATATTTATTTCTGTGTGCTTAAGACGCAGAGTAGTTAAGCACACTGTTAATTCCTGACTCCGGGTTTTTTTCCCCTCTTTATTTATTTATTTATTTTGGTTATTATTATTTTTAAAAAACATTCAATCACTATACATCATTTGGCTTGTAAAGAGAATTTATCTAACATTAAATATACGTCAGACTAGTCCAGTAGAGGATATTATACATGTTATCATCAACAGGTAAAAAATCATTTATATCCCAAGAGAAGACTGGAGGAGAGGGGATTGTGGTGTGGTCAGCCACCCTGGGGGATGATTTCTCTCACTTTCTGTCTTTCTGTCTCTCCCTGTTTATCCAGCGAGAACACACACCATATAGGAAAAATCTCTCTCAGGGAAATATTTTGGGGCCAGCAGGTGCTATAGTAGTTAAGGTACTGGACTCCCACTGGGCTGACCATTGATCCTGAACCTGGAGGCTGGAAACTCATACCGTGTGTGTGTGTGTGTGTGTCCAAAATCCCAAGAGAAGAATGGAGGAGAAGGGATTGTGGTGTGGCCAACCTCCCTGGGAAGACTTTCTCTCTCTCTGTCTCTGTCTCTCCAGTGAGCACACATACCCAATAGCAAAAATCTCTCAAAAAAAGGAATATCAGGGCTGGCAAGTGGTTAAGGTGTTAGACTCCTACATGGCCAACTGCAGTTCGAATCCAGACCTGGAAGCTTGCTTTCTCACTTTCCCTCTCTCGCTCTCCCTCCATCTCTATCTGGTCAAATTAAATAATAATAATAATAATAATAAATGAAATTGAATAAATAATTTTTAAAAATAATATCCTTCATCTTTCCTGTGCCTAAAGCCTCACCTGTAAAATGAAAGTAACAAAGTACTTACTTCTTAGAATTGCTGTAGAGTTAAGTGTAAAATACTAATGTAAGGAAGTCATGATGGAAACCAGCAGTTGGTGTAATGGCTATGTCACTCGACTACCACGTAGTCAACCAAAGTTCGAGTCCCAGACCTGGTGGCTTAAACTCACGCTGGTGCATGTGTGTGTGTGCCCAAGATGCCGAGAGGAGATGGAGGAGAAGAGATTGCGACGTGGCTTTTCCCCTTGGGGCTGTGGTTTCTTGCTTTCTGTCTCTCTGTCTCTGTCTTTCTGTTGAGTGCGCATGTGACCTATAGCAAAAACCTTTCGAAAAGAGAAAAAAAAGTATAGCAAAAACCTCTCGAAAAGAGAAAAAAAACAAAGTCATGATGACAGTGGCAGTGAGCAGCTCTATAACACTTGATCCATACGATCAGAATTCAGTTCATGAGTCAATCTGTACCTGCCTGGTGGGAGGGTCATAGTGTGAGACACTGTTGTTGAGAATGCCTCTGTGTGTGTGTATTTTTTTTTAAAGTCTTTCTCTCATGGAAAAAATTAATTTTAATAACCTTACTAATATATTACTATCATACTGGCATATATATATGTGTGTGTGTGTGTAAATTTTTCTAAAGACAGTCTCAGAGAAAGGAAAAGTTTTTTACTAAGAAATTTATCATTGAAAACAATAGTGAATGAATGATGACAGAGTTCCATTACCATGATAACAAAGATCTCATGTTTCCATGCAGGCTCCTACCCTCTGAATGCAGTTATCAGTCACTGAAAAATGACATATGGCGTCCAGTGACTTGGCAATAGGAGTGATCTTCTTATCTCAGACCGTAGTTGGATTCCTAGGGAATTTCCTTCTTCTTTACCATTATAGTTTCCTCTATTTCACCAGATGCACACTGAGGTCTACAGATCTGATTATAAAGCACCTTGCTGTAGCCAACTCCTTGGTCATACTCTTTAAAGGAGTTCCACAGACAATGGCTGCTTTCCTGTTGAAGCATTCCCTGAGTGATATTGAGTGCAAACTTGTATTCTATGTTCACAGAGTGGGCAGGGGTGTGTCTATGGGAAATACCTGCCTCTTGAGTGTTTTCCAGGCCATCACCATAAGCTCCAGAGACTCCAGGTGGACAGAGCTGAAACTGCAAACTCCCAAATACATTGGACTTTTCAGCATCCTGTGTTGGGTCCTGAACATGCTGGTCAATATCTGTGTTTCTATGCACATGATTGGCAAGCAGAACAGCAAAAACAACACTGCAAAAGTTGATTATGGATACTGTTCTGGGACTGTTAATAACAGGACTGCACTATCCCTATATAACTCACTGTTGTTATTCTATGATATTTTGTGTGTGGGACTCATGATCTGGGCCAGTGGTTCCATGGCTTTCACCCTGTACAGGCACAAGCAGCAAGTGCAACACATTCATGGGACCAACCTCTCCCCCAGATCATCCCCTGAGTCCAGGATCACCCAGAGTATCCTTGTCCTAGTCAGCAGCTTTGTGTCATTTTTCACCCTCTCCTCAATCCTTTCATTATATAGCTCTTTTTTTCATAAGCCCAGTTGGTGGCTGGTGAACACTTCGGCACTAATCACTTCTTGTTTTCCCACAGTCAGTCCCTTTATTTTCATGAGCCGTGACCCCAGAATATCCAGGATCAATTATGCCTGCTAGAGGAGGAATACAAAGTTCCCTAAGCCAATCAGATCTACATTTTGAGAGGCTTGTTTGCATAAAGCACTGTTCAAAACTGGCCTTACATATGCTAAACACCCAACACCACAGTCATCAAAACAACATCTTTGACCAACATGTTTTCATGACTGCTGACATTCATAAAGCATTTGACTTCTTTGGCAGACCTGTGTGAAAGGCATGACTGAACTACTCAAATAAACTGCCCTTACCACAAGCCACGACAGGCCCAATAACCAAACTAGTCACAAAGATAAGAATATATGGCACAGAGCTTTGCCATGATAAAGGAACAAATAAGCTGGGCACTCAGACAACTCTATGCCATTCAGGTTTTGGCTATTTTCCGTGAGTGAATTGGAGCAGATGTTGTACTCAAGCACTCACTGTGTGGCTCCCCTTGAACTGGAGCAGTTGCTTAAGCACTCAGTTTTCAGCTCCCCTTGCTAGAATCTGGAGGCACGGGGATCCTGACAAAAGTGAATCAGCCCTTTCCACCACAGTAGCTTGAGGTATGTCTGGCCCAGAACCTGTAGTGATTACCTATTGATGGTGTGTTCAGTGGAGAATAGTGTTCAATGATGGCTCCAACCTGGTGACACCCTCGGACTATTGGAGTAGAATTTCCTTCCCTCCTGCTGTTGGTGTAGATACTGACTTTGAGCAGGCTTACATGTCCCTGTCCTTTATCTTACTATGCTTGCATATGCGTTAGAACAATTGATATGAAGAAAGCCTTGACATTGTGGAAAGACACAACTATAATCATGAACTAATTCCCTGCACTATTGACAAAGTCACAAACTATATGGGTCTCGTTATTTCTCTTAATTTTGGAGTGGGTACAAAAGTCAGATTTTTGTTGTTGTTGTCTAAAAGCTTTGGGCCATAAAAAGAACATTATTGTATCTTCCCAAAATTGGGGTGGGGGGATTGGAAATAAAAGCCTTTGTTTTAAGTCATATTGCCTAGGTTAATCACTGAGATACTGGTATAAGCCATCTATCTCAAGTAAGCAGCCAAGCTGCTGTGTCTCTGTTAGAGACAGAAACCAGCTCAGGCCTGAGAGAGAACCAGAAGGGAAGAATGCAGAACAGAGTTGAAACCAACCTCATTCCCAGATGGAAAGCCAGAAGGATTGCATGGTCAACTGTATGAAGTTCCAGACATGGAAGGTGTCTTAAGATGGGGGACATTCTGCAAGCCAAGATACTATGTAAGTACTAAGTTAATGATAGATATCAATTTTGTACCGGGAATAGCCTACAAAGAATGTCATGTATATTGTACAATGGGTTTCTTTTTTTTCATTTATTTTCTTATTTTTTAAAATTTTATTTTATTTATTTATTTATTTATTTATTTTTTGGAGAGGTTTTTTGATACAGGGCACATGCGCTCTCCAGACAGACAGAGACATAGAGACAGAAAGTGAGAAATCACCCCCCAGGGGGGTGGTCATGCCACAATCCCTT